TGTAACTATGAATAGGTGATATTAATGTGGTTGCTCAACCCTATATTTCTACCTGATAACTATCCCAGTAAGCAACCAAGCATTATTTTCTGAATTTGCACAGAAAAGCCATAAAAGGACCTTTTTGCGGTCCAATACCTAAGTTATTTGATTCTAGGACGGAACATTCTCATTTAAGAATAGGAACTAGAAACACTACTATAATAGAAAAAAGCAAAAGAATGTAAAAGGAAAGACCAAGGACTAGTCTGGAATTTGGCGCCAAGGTTCACATATACTGCCTTTAGTAAAATGGCAACAGAGGCATTCCAGACGATCAGGAAAGAGATATAATGAATGTTACAACCTATAGAATTTTCATGGTACTTGTATGACAAGAACTGAAGTCTGCAGACTGCTATCATTTGAACTGTGAGAAAACAGGTGTTGAAACCTACTCAGCAGATTGAAAAACAAACAGACCTTGGTCTGCCACATATGGCATAAAGATATTACTTTAACGGTCTGTTTCTGAAGCCCACCTTTTTCTGAAACCACTGGAGAGCATTAATCTTAGTAAGTCAGAAGGCAAGTTGTACCCACGGAACAAATGGAGAAGAGCACAAGTATTTGAAAGCTCATTTCCCAAGGCATTCAGTTAACAAGCCCGCCTTTTTGTTCAGGCAGCAGGATTTCTTGAGGAGAAGTGAGTGAAGAAATAATTGAACCAGCTCTTATTTTCTGAAATAACAAAAAACTAGTTAGATTGCATTTAAAAAATAGAATTTACGGGGTTTTTTCAACAGGAAAGAATAAAAAATCAAAACCCATAAATCATGAGGAAAGTTATTCTTTTTTCTGAAATACTGAACTGTTAGGTTCAGAAACTACATTATAGTTGAAAACTCAAGCTTTTATAAGTCAGGAAATTCCAAAGCAAGCCTACGGCAGAGCTTACTTGGCCACGTTACACGTGGCACATATTCTACGGTCCATGTTTAACAAATAACTGGGAGATGAAAAAAAAAAGTTCCACATATTCAACATGGCAGAATAAATTCTATAGCAGAAAGAAGAACTCTGAAATGTCTTAAACACTACTCTGGAAGTTAATATTCCATTAATCTAACTTTAGCAATTTGTTTCCTTTTTTTTTGTCAGAACAAAAAGTCATCTCAGTAGAAAGAAACTCACATGAGCAAAATACTATGTACATCACCATCCTATAAATGTGAGACACAGTTCCCCCCTTTTTGGCAACTGTCTAAAAATCTCATGAAAAAAATGCTTAGTTTCCTCAAATCCAAACTTTAATTTCTATCTTTGGAACTTGAAAATACTTACATAATTATCTTCAAATATGGCTTGACTGTTCTTCCTTGATGGAAACAGCATTCCTGCCAACTTTAAAATTTATAGCTACAACCATATTTTTTTAATTTTTAAAAGCACAGAAAGTACCACAACCCCTCAAAGTGATTTTGAAATGAACATTTCTTCATCTTCATAATTATTCCATGTCACACTGAAACTTTCTCCAACTCAGTATACAAATGGAAAGAACATTTACCTCTGAGTCTCATTCCAAAATATTACATTTGAAGATAATGACATTAACAACTAAAAAAGAATTCCAACGGCAATCACACTTCAGCCATTATGAATTCCATTACAAAGTAAAATGGTGCTCCTAGTAATCAAAATCCTGTGTGTGTGTGTATGACACACTCTCGCTTTTACAGACTAAACTGCAGTTTTCAAAGCATTTTTCACATAATTTCATTTACTTGATCCTCTGACAATCCTGAAAAGTATACAAGACAGGAATTATAATTCCATTTTCTAGATCAGTAAACTGAGATACAGAAAGGCTAAGTGACTTGCCAAACCAAAAGTTCATCAGCAGAAAAACTTGGAAAAACAATCTGGACTGCTGCCTCCCAGACTACTCCTTTAAGGAATGTTCAGATATGCAGTTTAAACTAGATGAGAAATATGCAAAGCTGCTGGATTTCTAGGGCAGTTTCAACAATGCTTCTTTTTCTCCCCAACATCATAAAGGTTTAGCAGTCTATCTTCAAACAAAAAACCAAACCCATTACCTTAGAGTCGATTTCCAACTCATAGCGACCTTATAGGACAGAGTAGAACTGCCTGATAAGGTTTCCAAAGTTTGAAATCTTTACAGAAGCCGATTACCACATCTTCTCCTGCAGAGCAGCTGGTGGGTTCAAACCACTGACATTTCAGTTAGCAGCCGAGTGCTTTAACCACTGTACCACCAGAGCTCCTGCAGTAGTCTATCTTACTGCTGGAAAAATAGGGGTGGTTACTTGGATTACAGGGACTGCATTAAAAGGCTGTGTTTAAAATATTTAAATTTATAAAGTTATATGCCTTTGAAAAACCTAGAAATCAGTATGATAATGTAGTCCAACAACTTCTGAAGTAGAAAATATTCAGATTTACCGGGGAAGAAATAAATTTTGAACCATCTATCTTAAAAAAAAATTAAAAGAGTAATATAGAAAAAGAAGTTCCAAGAAAAATGGGTTGGGGGATGTAATTCGTAGCTCTGGTCACATCCCATGTTCAAAACTTGAATCTTCCCAAACTGAACACGACCTTCTCCACACATTCCCCTTGAATGAGGATACCACAAGGCAACACTGCAGCATTTTTTCACTTCTAAGTTTTCATGCCAAGTTTACATCTACATTTGCTACCTTTTTAGAAGAATCTAACTGACACTTGTTATCAATAAAAAATCAACATTAAAGGTAGCATTACTGTTGTTTGAAATGACACAATGATTTGCTTGTTTTAGAAACTCCTGAAAGAGGCAAGTGAGGTAAATGGAGAATGAGTCAGTTTAAATTTTTACATGTGTTTCTCTACACTGCTCAATTATTAAGTAAACTCCTAAAAGGCAAAAACAATTTTTTTTTTTCTTTTTCTTTCTTCTCCTCCACCCCATAGCAACTGGAGTAGAGCTTGACATGGGCCACATGGAGGTCACTGACTGTGGTGGAAGCCAGGCAGAAATTCTCAGATCCACCTTGCAGGCCTAGGGACACAGAGGCATATTAGAGTCTCAGTTTCTTCTGCTCGTCACTTTGCAGAAGAAAACAAGCAGTGGAGATGGTGAGAGTCATGGCAGCAAGAAGAGAAAGGTGGCAGGTCTCTGTGAAAATGCCTATGCAGGAAATACCTATCTAGAAGGTAGATGGGCAGTGTGGCTAGGAAGACAACTAGACAAGGGAACATATTGATCACTGTGTTATAACAGTTTATATGTATGTCACAGACAGAAAACCATTGAGCAAAATATACCTACCACACAGTAGTAATATCCAATGGATGCAAAATATTTGTACAGTACTGGTCAGGCCTTCACAACTACATGCAAGTATGGAGAGGTGTAATGTTCTGTTGAATAACAAGGCCTTTTCTTCCTGAAACACGCATATAAGTTCCTCAGGCCACTGTTTAGTTTCTTCTTTGAGGTCAGGACATAATTAATCAGATTGGTTTTATATTTTGATGCATTTTATTTGTCCCTGCTCTTGAACACACAATTCAAGTAAATGTACACAGGCTTTATTAAAATAGGCTATATTTTGTATAATTGAAGTTGGAACCACTTACATGCCATAAATACATTTTAGAGTTAGAATCAAGGTTCTTGAAAAGTAAACAAAAACTGGTTCTACTAAAGGGCAGGAGTATTCAGGGTCTTAAAAATGTCACATGGTGAATAACCAACCCTGAATAAGCATAATGTCTACATGACAACATCTGTGAGGAACAGCAATATATGCACAAGTATATATAAAGCACGTATCGACTCATATGCATGTGAAAGCTAGACAATGAATAAGGAAGACCAAAGAAGAAATGATGCCTTTGAATTATGGTGTTGGGGAAGAATACTGAATATATGATGAACTGCCAGAAGAACGAACAAATCTGTCTTGGATGAAGCACAGCCAGAGTGCTCCTTGGAAGCGAGGATGGCGAGACTTCATCTCATGTACTTTGGACATGTTATCAGGAGGGACCGGTTCCGGGAGAGGAGATCATGTTTGGGAAAGTAGAGGATAAGCAAAAAAGAGGAAGATTCTCAGCGACATGGATTGACACAGTGGCTGCAACAATGGGCTAAAGCATAACAACAATTGTGAGGATAGCGCAGGACCGGGCAGTGTTTCGCTCTGTTGTACACAGGGTGGCTATGAGTCAGAACCGACTCGACGGCACCTAACAACAACAACAACATAAAAGCATATACACTTTATAGAAAAGAGAATGTTCATCCTAAAACATTACACCTACATGCAAAAGGGGCAGTTTAAAAAGAAAATAGGCCTCTACATTCTGATTCAGGGAAGTTGAAATCGCTTGTCCTTGTGAATTGCACTTGATATTTCAAATTTATGTGAAAAATTGTTCCCCAAAAAATTTTAAATGTGCATTTGTTACTGCATATCTGTGGGAGTTCAAGTACAAACTGCAGATCATCGTCCAAAAACAATGAGTATCTAACACACCTGTGATTTTACATGCTGCATGATGAAGGAGTCAACTACTTTATCAAGAGAACAGTAAATACCCCTACAACATGGCCATGAGGCTCAGACCCCCTAAAAGGGTAGATTTGGGGTTAATCTTAACACAGACTGCACTCTCAAAAGGCGATAGGGTTGTAGTAGAAATCTGCAATGTGTTTTCTATACAAAACAAGAAGGAGGAAAACGAGGCTAATGGGGCACAATAGCCCAGGATAAGGACTAAAAGGCAGGAGAGGACAGGAAAGCTGGTAATAGGGAACCCAAGGTTGAGAAGGGAGAGTGTTGACATGTCATGGGGTTATTAACCAATCTCATAAAACAATATGTGTACTAACTGTTTAATAAGAAACTATTTGTTCTGTAAACCTTCATCTAAAATACAATAAAAAAATTAATTAAAAAAAAACCCAAGAAGGAGGAATGCATATGACAATCAAACACTTCACGTACTTTGCGAAGCCAATGAAGTCTTCGTGGTTGGTATTGATGTAGGAGACTTGGATGTCAATCAGTAACAGTACCTGTAAGTTGAAGAGAAACACTCATATTAAAAATCTCAAGCATTAAATTGAGTAATTGCCAGCAAATTATTTATCTCCATTTAATTTTATGAAAAGAATGCTTCAATTAGAATGAAATGTTGCATTACATTTTTTTATTAGACTGTCTTAATTATTTTACTCTAAATTCAGAAATTAATTAAAAATCTACATGAAAGTAAATATGAGTACCACATGAAGACAACAGTACTGCAGTCTATAGGCATGTACTATTTGCTGACTTCACACAGACGCTAGAATTTTTCTACTCTCCTAAACTGTAGGGATAAGGTTCAAAAGAAGGGCAAGAGCATATAAGAAAGACATGTGGCAGGAAGGCCAGTGAGGGGCTGCTCTGAACTTCCTGCTCCTGTAGACATCCAAGAATTAGCAATATCATCGCTTGTCTTTCCTCTCAATCCTCTTCTTTCTCTTTAAGATCCTTCTAGGCAAGCAAAAGAAGTATCTCATTAACCAACTCCAAAAGGTGATATACAAATAAATAGAAGGACTTCTTGAGGTCAATAAGCTTTCTCATCAAATCAATTAAAATGCATGCTTCAGCCAGGACTCTGCTGAAATATCTTCTCAGAGGGATCTTCCCTGCCCATTCTATCTCAATTATTCCTTTTGTTCTCCCCACTAAGCCACTTCTTTTGCTAGGATGCTGAGACTTGTCCATAGGGGAAAGAGCTTAAGAATCCCTGCTTCAATACCTCCATAGCTCTGTACTTTGACTGTGCAGCATAAATCTAGTCATCACAGTCATCAAAAGTCCATTCAACAAGTATTTACTGTCTTCTTTCACAACTTTTCCCCCACTATGGCCAGAGGAGAAAAGAACTTTATTTATCACAGGATATTACTCAAAATCAAGGTCTGCTCTTTGAGAAATAGGGGAAGGTAAGAGTAGTAATGGCAAAGTCTCTTTCTCTTTGCTCTGTTTATAAACTAAGGAAGTGGTTACAAGGGGGCCAGGTATACAATACAAATCAGGTATTGTAAATAGGTAATGCAAGGAGACCTGGTGGCACAACGGGTTAAGTGCTAGGCTGCTAATCAAAAGGTTAGCAGTTCGAACCCACCCATCAACTCCATGGGAGAAAGACCTGGCAATCTGTTCCCATAAAGACTACAGCCTAGAAAACCCTATGGCAGTTCTACTCTGTCACATGGAGTCTCTGAGTTGGAATCCACTCGATGGCACATAACAACAACAACAAATAGGTAATACAGTTAGAGACAAAAGACAGTGGTAAGTATTCAGGCAAACTAGAGTATGTGGGTACCACCTAAAGAAAGACATGGAAATATATTTCAACAAGAAAAAGTAAACAATTCAGGAGTCTCCGAGTGGTGCAAACTATTAAAAGCCAAAGTACTCAAGGTAACAGCATCATTAAACATCTTCTACATGATACTATGCAATGGGTATTTCCTCAGGAAAATCTTCCCTGATCCTCACCCCCTGTCATCACCCAAGACCAGGTTGGATCATATTATTATTCGCATATAGTCTATATATCATAATTATATTTTATATTCTTATATGTTACATTCACCAATGGCACCCTATACCTGCATTTACCACAAATGTAATTAATTCTTTATCTAATTCTTTGTTTGGTGTTTCTCTTCCCTGCAAGACTGTAAGCCCCATGGAAGCAGGGATTATGTTTGTCTTATTCATTGTTTTATTCCCAGAATTTAACAAGATGCATATAGTAGGTGTCCAATAAATACTCGTGGCTGTAAATATAGTAACTATATACCAGCTCTGAAGAACAGTTTGCTTTAAAGGGAGCAATTTATTCCTGTACAATTAGTATATGGCCACTTATTATATTTTCTCAGTACCCAATGCTATGGGCTCCTAGGATTTGCTTTTGTGGCTAATTTCAACCGGTCATCTCACCAAATCTTGCTGTCAGTCACAAGAGGACCAGGGAAAAGGACAGAATGAATCATCCCAATGGATTACTCCACCCTTGCAACCAAAAAAAAAGTCAAGACATAGGGGCTATTGGGTCAATAATATCATGCTTTTATGAGACAATTTCATATTATCAGATACAGTTCTCTGTTTCATCTCTTAAAAAAGAAAGACTGAAGAGTTAGGAGGAGTGACCATTATTAGATTATCTATGGTATTGCATCTACTCTTTCCACAATAAGGCCAGATTCTGTTGAATGTTATACTCCCAAATCCATTTGGCCAGGAGTTTATACTAATAAACTATAATATTTAAGCACAAATAAATTGTTGCCACCATAAGGACCAAACTATCTGCATAATTCTCTGCAATGCCAAAGATTGTCATGAATATCTTGGATGTTCATACACATTAACTTGGACTGCAGTATAGGAAAAGAGTGAAAAAAAGTAGAAGATATAGCTGTCCTCATTCATGTTCCTGGAAACGGGGAGTCTGTGTTCATCCTAGGAAAAGAGCCAGATCACATGTTGGGGATGAAAAGGAAAACAGTACATATTTTTCTTTCTTTCCTTTTCAGTTTCTCAAAGTTTCTTACTGCTTTTTTTTGACCTAAGTTTATTGAATATTTAGTTCAAGAAAAATAAAGCTATCCCTAGAAGCAGTGATTAACCACAAAGTCAACTACCTTGACATGCAATTACATGCATGGAAGTACCTGGAATAGTACCCAGCAGACATAGATGTTCAAAAAAACATTGTCTAAGAAAAAAGCTCAAGAAGTGAAGCCAACGGGGCACCCTAGACAGAAGCACCACGCCGTCCCTCTGCAGCAAAGACCCGAAAATCTAAGTAAAACAGATAACAAATGTCTTTCCTGGAACCCTAAGCCTCAAATGAAGGAATAAAGAACTAGATCAAGTACCGAATGCAAGAAGAAATTGAAGGAAAATAGAGAATGAAGAGAGACATGGAGTGGAGGTCCCCTACCAACTAACATTGCACAGTGTTGCCATCTTGGAGTGCAGCCAGCAACAACCCCGGACAGGGAGTATGGGAAGGCAACTTCATGGAGCTCCGAACAGGAGACAGAGCACCCAGTAACAAGACAAACACACTTTCCCACCCTTCACCCTTCTGCCCAGTACACCACCTCACCCTTTCCTGAGATGCCACACCGCACTGCCTTGGCTAGAGACTACCAGCTCGCCACCAACATGGGTCCGCCTTGCCCCCACTCACTGGCTCCTGTCACATCATTTTTTTTCCATTTCTTCCTTTCCTTTCTCCCTCCCACTTAGACCCATACTCCACCTCTACCCCTTCCCACCGGGCCAAGATGCACCACCACAGGTACAGACCTACTGGCCTACCACTGTTCTGGGTCTCCCCTGCCAGCTCCTGCCATGCCATTTTTTTCCTTTCCCCTTTCTTCCTTTTCTTTCTCCTTCCCACCTGGCCCCAAACACCATCTCTATCACTTCCCACAAGGCCAAGCTGCACCACCACAGGTAGAGAGCCACTGGCCCGCTGCTGCCCGAGGTCCCACCTGCCCCTACCTGCTCCCACCTGCCGGTGCCTGCCACACTGTTTTTTTCCCTTCTTTCTTTTCTTTCTCCCTCAAACCTAACCCCACATGCTACCTCTATCCCTTCCCGCCGGGCCACAACAAACTTCTGCGGCTAGAGAGTCAGCAGCCCACAGCCACCTCGGGTCCTCGCAACCCCACCAGTCAGTTCCCACTATGACATTTTTTCTTCTTTTCCCCTTTCTACCTTTTCTTTCTCCTACCCACCTATCCCAGAATGCCAACTCTATCCCTTCTTGCTGGGAAAAGTTGCACTGCTATGGATAGAGAGCTGCTCGCCGGCCATATTCTACCACTCACCTAGCCATGTATGCCACCTCCCCCGCTTCTTGTCAGCCCCCAGGTCTGTCCCATCCCCACTGGTGGGCCACCCCTTTTTTTACCTTCTTTCTCTCTCTTTTCTTTGTTCTGTCCACCTAGCCCCATATACCACCCCTCATTCCCACCAGCCCTCACCATGCCACTGCGGCTACAGCATCCCCAGCTCATGCCTGCCCCAGCACCAAACCTACACTGCCCTCCCCTCTAGCCACTCAACCAGCTGCTGAATGGAGGGAAGTGAGCCCATACCACTCCCCATCTGATACCCCCACCTATTTAACATGGGGATGTGGATCCTCCCACATGGCTGGACCAACATCAGGAGGCACACAGCACCCACCTAGTATACCCTCAGCCACCTCACCAAACTGGTGTACAGCAAAGTAGGTTCACGCTGCCTGCTACTGCCATGCCCACGTGGACAAGGTGGTGAGAACTATTCTGCCCACAGAGGAGCCAGCAGAAAAGCATGCCTGCCTGGTCTGACCGCCCTGACATATCAAAACAAAACAAAGAAGCAGGGTGAAACAAACTAACATGCAATCAATAAATAAAGAAAATAATACCTTAATGTCTCAGAGACAGCTGACAATATCAAAACATATAAAAAAGCAGGACAAGATGGCTGCAACAAGTGACCAAAATAAAGAATCAGATGACCATCCGGTAGAAAACAAGGCAGTGGAACTACCTGATATGGAATTCAAAAGACTGATATTTACAGCTCTCCAAGAGGTCAGAAAAGAAATTAAGGAAAACACAGATAAAACCAAGGAAAAAATGGACAAAATCATGGAAAACACAGACAAAACCAATGAAAACAGCCAAAATCAAGGAAAACACAAAGCAATAGAAGAATTCAGGAAAATAATACAAGAACAAAATGTCAAAATAAATAAAAAATAGAAATCATACAAAAACAGTAACTAAATTTCAAAAAATAAAATTTCAGAAATGGACAACTCAACAGACGGTTTTAAGAGCAATTTTGAAACAATGGAAGACAGAATCAGTGAGATTGAAGACAAATCCATGGACGTCACTTTCTTTGGGAAAAAACAGAGAAAAGAATGACAAAAAAGTGTTAAAAAGCAAAGATGTCACTTTAAAATCTGGACTAGGAGAAAGAAGGGGTTGAGTCTATCTCAGGAAGATTACCAAGGAAGAAGCCTCATTTAAAAGTTGTCAAAAATTCAAAATAGAAGCAGTATGTTGCAGAAGGCAGTGGCCGTTACTGGATGTTAACACCGCTGTTATTAGCACCTAATCTAGGTTTTGTGTTCCTGCTGGGTAGCAAAAATTTTACTGGCACTCTGAGCTTAAATGAACCTCACCATATTACAGGAATCATAGACTAATTGATATGCATTTCCTTATATTTTGGAGTCTCTTTAAATGAGACTTAAGAAGCAGCAACCTCTTTTTTTTTATTGATGTGGGTGGTTTTCTAAAAAATGTCATAGACTCAATAGATTGTTTTGTTCAAAATACTGAAATAGAGGCATAGTTTCTGTTATTATCTTTCTAAATTGAAAAGAAAGGCAATACAATATTAAAAATTAGTTACAGCAAAAAGAAAAAGAAAAAAGCTCCCAGGCAGACTTATGGTTTTTCATATTTTTAATTTTTCAGATTTGTCCCCATAAAGCTTCCAAATTAGAGGTTGGTAATCATTCTATTTTAAAAAAAAAAGACAACTGCAAAAATGCCACAAAGCAATTCTGGTAAAGAGGCCTGAAGAAATAGACCTCTCTCTGAATAGCTACTTCAAAAATGTCCATGGCAGCACAGAGTTCAGAAATCTAATGTGAGTTTCTATCCCAACTGCCACATTCACATTACCAAAAACCTGCATGTCTTTACTGTGCTACACAGGAACATATGAGAGGAGGTCAGTACCAGCTTCTACAGGCAGTGGATTAACTGCCAGACCAGGGTGCCTGAGATTGTCATTTAGAAAGAAGATGCCCGCCCGATCCCCATCAGGGGAATCGATTAATGACTACATCAGAATTGCAGATGGAAGACCATTTCCCATGAAATCTGAAAAGGCAATTCTTTCTCATTTCTACTATGTGTTATAGCTCTTCGGATGCATGGGAATAACAACAAAAATAACTAACATTAAAAACTAAGAGCTATACTTGAATGACTTCATTTCATCCTCACAAAATGCCCATGAGTTAACTGTCATTATCATCCCACTTTTAGATGAGTAAATTAAGGTATAAAGCTGTCAAGTAACTTTTCTGAGCCTACACAGAAAGTATATGGTAGAATTTGGATTCAAACCCAAGCAGTCTGAGCCCAGAGGCCACAATCTTAACCACAGTGCCAAGTCTGACTATGTAATTTTATTAAAACAAAAACTCTGGAACATGAAACAAGGAAGAGCTACCAAGTGACTTACATATGATCACAAAATAGTTAAAATAATAATTGCACTATTTTTACTTAACATTGTTTTTACATAGAATCTCTAAAAGTAGGATGTATTATCATTTGAATTTTATAAAGACACTAAATTGAAATGGTTAGCATATTTACTTTAGGTCAGGAGTACAGCTGATAGCAGAACTTAAGTCTTCTCAGTCCAGCAGGTGCCTGGGGAAATCTCTGGCCTTGGGCATATATGTCAGCCCTCAGCATGCTTTCACTGACTTATAAGTTAATATTGACTTGATTATCTCCACTAAGTTTCAAAGCCTTATTTTCTCCATTTTTGGCTATTGTGGCTACCCAAGAGTGTGAAAGTTGGAAAACAAGTGATACTATGAAAAATGATTAACTTTCAAAGAACAATGACTAAGAAGCAGTAATATAATGAATCCCACAGCCCAAGTCGAGAACATGCTGTCACTGGAGGTGCTCACAAATTTCCCAACGTTCTGGGCTTCCATCCCTCAGTCTCCTTCCTATCTCCTTCCCCCCACACACACACACACCTCACACACACACACACCTCACACACACACACACCTCACACACACACACACCTCAC